GTGAGCATGGACACCACGTGTAACTGCAGCCGCGACAGCTGCCGATGCCAGTGCTCCATGGCATCTAGCTGTGTGGCCAGCACGTGGGTGTGAGCTTCAACCTGGGGTATGAGAGGAAGGGCATAGGGCATTCAGTGAGCATGGACACCACGTGTAACTGCAGCCGCGACAGCTGCCGATGCCAGTGCTCCATGGCATCTAGCTGTGTGGCCAGCACGTGGGTGTGAGCTTCAACCTGGGGTATGAGAGGAAGGGCATAGGGCATTCAGTGAGCATGGACACCACGTGTAACTGCAGCCGCGACAGCTGCCGATGCCAGTGCTCCATGGCATCTAGCTGTGTGGCCAGCACGTGGGTGTGAGCTTCAACCTGGGGTATGAGAGGAAGGGCATAGGGCATTCAGTGAGCATGGACACCACGTGTAACTGCAGCCGCGACAGCTGCCGATGCCAGTGCTCCATGGCATCTAGCTGTGTGGCCAGCACGTGGGTGTGAGCTTCAACCTGGGGTATGAGAGGAAGGGCATAGGGCATTCAGTGAGCATGGACACCACGTGTAACTGCAGCCGCGACAGCTGCCGATGCCAGTGCTCCATGGCATCTAGCTGTGTGGCCAGCACGTGGGTGTGAGCTTCAACCTGGGGTATGAGAGGAAGGGCATAGGGCATTCAGTGAGCATGGACACCACGTGTAACTGCAGCCGCGACAGCTGCCGATGCCAGTGCTCCATGGCATCTAGCTGTGTGGCCAGCACGTGGGTGTGAGCTTCAACCTGGGGTATGAGAGGAAGGGCATAGGGCATTCAGTGAGCATGGACACCACGTGTAACTGCAGCCGCGACAGCTGCCGATGCCAGTGCTCCATGGCATCTAGCTGTGTGGCCAGCACGTGGGTGTGAGCTTCAACCTGGGGTATGAGAGGAAGGGCATAGGGCATTCAGTGAGCATGGACACCACGTGTAACTGCAGCCGCGACAGCTGCCGATGCCAGTGCTCCATGGCATCTAGCTGTGTGGCCAGCACGTGGGTGTGAGCTTCAACCTGGGGTATGAGAGGAAGGGCATAGGGCATTCAGTGAGCATGGACACCACGTGTAACTGCAGCCGCGACAGCTGCCGATGCCAGTGCTCCATGGCATCTAGCTGTGTGGCCAGCACGTGGGTGTGAGCTTCAACCTGGGGTATGAGAGGAAGGGCATAGGGCATTCAGTGAGCATGGACACCACGTGTAACTGCAGCCGCGACAGCTGCCGATGCCAGTGCTCCATGGCATCTAGCTGTGTGGCCAGCACGTGGGTGTGAGCTTCAACCTGGGGTATGAGAGGAAGGGCATAGGGCATTCAGTGAGCATGGACACCACGTGTAACTGCAGCCGCGACAGCTGCCGATGCCAGTGCTCCATGGCATCTAGCTGTGTGGCCAGCACGTGGGTGTGAGCTTCAACCTGGGGTATGAGAGGAAGGGCATAGGGCATTCAGTGAGCATGGACACCACGTGTAACTGCAGCCGCGACAGCTGCCGATGCCAGTGCTCCATGGCATCTAGCTGTGTGGCCAGCACGTGGGTGTGAGCTTCAACCTGGGGTATGAGAGGAAGGGCATAGGGCATTCAGTGAGCATGGACACCACGTGTAACTGCAGCCGCGACAGCTGCCGATGCCAGTGCTCCATGGCATCTAGCTGTGTGGCCAGCACGTGGGTGTGAGCTTCAACCTGGGGTATGAGAGGAAGGGCATAGGGCATTCAGTGAGCATGGACACCACGTGTAACTGCAGCCGCGACAGCTGCCGATGCCAGTGCTCCATGGCATCTAGCTGTGTGGCCAGCACGTGGGTGTGAGCTTCAACCTGGGGTATGAGAGGAAGGGCATAGGGCATTCAGTGAGCATGGACACCACGTGTAACTGCAGCCGCGACAGCTGCCGATGCCAGTGCTCCATGGCATCTAGCTGTGTGGCCAGCACGTGGGTGTGAGCTTCAACCTGGGGTATGAGAGGAAGGGCATAGGGCATTCAGTGAGCATGGACACCACGTGTAACTGCAGCCGCGACAGCTGCCGATGCCAGTGCTCCATGGCATCTAGCTGTGTGGCCAGCACGTGGGTGTGAGCTTCAACCTGGGGTATGAGAGGAAGGGCATAGGGCATTCAGTGAGCATGGACACCACGTGTAACTGCAGCCGCGACAGCTGCCGATGCCAGTGCTCCATGGCATCTAGCTGTGTGGCCAGCACGTGGGTGTGAGCTTCAACCTGGGGTATGAGAGGAAGGGCATAGGGCATTCAGTGAGCATGGACACCACGTGTAACTGCAGCCGCGACAGCTGCCGATGCCAGTGCTCCATGGCATCTAGCTGTGTGGCCAGCACGTGGGTGTGAGCTTCAACCTGGGGTATGAGAGGAAGGGCATAGGGCATTCAGTGAGCATGGACACCACGTGTAACTGCAGCCGCGACAGCTGCCGATGCCAGTGCTCCATGGCATCTAGCTGTGTGGCCAGCACGTGGGTGTGAGCTTCAACCTGGGGTATGAGAGGAAGGGCATAGGGCATTCAGTGAGCATGGACACCACGTGTAACTGCAGCCGCGACAGCTGCCGATGCCAGTGCTCCATGGCATCTAGCTGTGTGGCCAGCACGTGGGTGTGAGCTTCAACCTGGGGTATGAGAGGAAGGGCATAGGGCATTCAGTGAGCATGGACACCACGTGTAACTGCAGCCGCGACAGCTGCCGATGCCAGTGCTCCATGGCATCTAGCTGTGTGGCCAGCACGTGGGTGTGAGCTTCAACCTGGGGTATGAGAGGAAGGGCATAGGGCATTCAGTGAGCATGGACACCACGTGTAACTGCAGCCGCGACAGCTGCCGATGCCAGTGCTCCATGGCATCTAGCTGTGTGGCCAGCACGTGGGTGTGAGCTTCAACCTGGGGTATGAGAGGAAGGGCATAGGGCATTCAGTGAGCATGGACACCACGTGTAACTGCAGCCGCGACAGCTGCCGATGCCAGTGCTCCATGGCATCTAGCTGTGTGGCCAGCACGTGGGTGTGAGCTTCAACCTGGGGTATGAGAGGAAGGGCATAGGGCATTCAGTGAGCATGGACACCACGTGTAACTGCAGCCGCGACAGCTGCCGATGCCAGTGCTCCATGGCATCTAGCTGTGTGGCCAGCACGTGGGTGTGAGCTTCAACCTGGGGTATGAGAGGAAGGGCATAGGGCATTCAGTGAGCATGGACACCACGTGTAACTGCAGCCGCGACAGCTGCCGATGCCAGTGCTCCATGGCATCTAGCTGTGTGGCCAGCACGTGGGTGTGAGCTTCAACCTGGGGTATGAGAGGAAGGGCATAGGGCATTCAGTGAGCATGGACACCACGTGTAACTGCAGCCGCGACAGCTGCCGATGCCAGTGCTCCATGGCATCTAGCTGTGTGGCCAGCACGTGGGTGTGAGCTTCAACCTGGGGTATGAGAGGAAGGGCATAGGGCATTCAGTGAGCATGGACACCACGTGTAACTGCAGCCGCGACAGCTGCCGATGCCAGTGCTCCATGGCATCTAGCTGTGTGGCCAGCACGTGGGTGTGAGCTTCAACCTGGGGTATGAGAGGAAGGGCATAGGGCATTCAGTGAGCATGGACACCACGTGTAACTGCAGCCGCGACAGCTGCCGATGCCAGTGCTCCATGGCATCTAGCTGTGTGGCCAGCACGTGGGTGTGAGCTTCAACCTGGGGTATGAGAGGAAGGGCATAGGGCATTCAGTGAGCATGGACACCACGTGTAACTGCAGCCGCGACAGCTGCCGATGCCAGTGCTCCATGGCATCTAGCTGTGTGGCCAGCACGTGGGTGTGAGCTTCAACCTGGGGTATGAGAGGAAGGGCATAGGGCATTCAGTGAGCATGGACACCACGTGTAACTGCAGCCGCGACAGCTGCCGATGCCAGTGCTCCATGGCATCTAGCTGTGTGGCCAGCACGTGGGTGTGAGCTTCAACCTGGGGTATGAGAGGAAGGGCATAGGGCATTCAGTGAGCATGGACACCACGTGTAACTGCAGCCGCGACAGCTGCCGATGCCAGTGCTCCATGGCATCTAGCTGTGTGGCCAGCACGTGGGTGTGAGCTTCAACCTGGGGGTGAGACAGGTTATGGGGGAAACACACCAGCAAGAACGTGTTTGTACGGGCATCGCGCGTCACTCCGGCCACCACCAAAGATGCCTGTGCCAGTGCTCCATGGCATCTAGCTGTGTGGCCAGCACGTGCGCGTGGGCTTCAACCTAAATTATGGGAAGAAGGGGGTAGAGGGGTAAAGAGGTGTGTGCATGAGCATTGGGTGGGTGCCGTCAACGCAGCAGCTGTGACAGCTGCCTGCCTGTGCCAAGACCTTCTGACCACGGTGACAGCAGCAAGAGTACGTACCTTCTGTGGCGGGGGTGGGTCGTCTGCATTGAATAACTCGTCTAGATCAAAGCAGAGCGTCCACTTGGGTGATTAGCGCGGCCCACTTGGTCTTCTTCGGCCCACTGGAGGGTGGTACGCTGGTTCGCTCGCCTTGAAGGTACAGCAGGGAGGTGGGATTCAAGGCATTTCACATGGGCGTACCTTGTGTGGTGGAGGTGGGTTGACAGTGTTGAAGAGCTCATCGAGGTTGATAAAAGAGCGCCCACTTGGATGAGTAGAGGGGCCCACTGGAGGGTGGTACGCTGGTTCGCTCGCCTTGAAGGTACAGCAGGGAGGTGGGGCCTAAGATGGGGCCAGGTTATGCAACATGGGGAGCGTACCTTCTGTGGTGGGGGCGGGTCATCAGCGTTGAAGAACTCGTCTAGATCAAAGAAGAGTGTCCGCTTGGCTGAGTGAAGTCGGCCCCACTGAGGAGGGGCAGTCCGCCTTACAGGTAAGGCAGGGAGTTGGGCCTCCCAAGGCATGTCAAGCAGGTAGGTACCTTCTGAGGTGGGGGCGGGTCATCAGCATTGAAGAACTCGTCTAGATCAAAGAAGAGCGCCTACTTTAGGGAGCAGGAGTCACCCACGGTCCACCGTGAAGGCTAGTCAGGGAGTTGGGGCTCAAGGCATGTCTCGCCACAAGAGGGTACCTTCGGAGGGGGGGTACCTTCTGTGGTGGGGGCGGGTCATCAGCGTTGAAGAATTCATCGAGATCGAAGAAGAGTGTCCACGTGGCTGAGTAGCGCGTGCTGTATGCACAGTCGTTCACCACCATCACCTGTATATGGGGTAACGGGGTAATACAGCGATGTACAGATGCTCATTGTCGGAGAATCGCTTCACCCTTGCAACCTGCTCTTCTTCTTGTCACTCCCTTGCCTTCCTTCTCCTTACGTTGTTGATTAGCCTCAGCCACCACCATTGAAAGAGTTTCCTCCCTCACCCCGTAGGTCCTCCCACAGTGGCGTGCCACCGGATGCTAGATCTAAGGTAACAGCTTTCCACTAATATGAGAGAATAACAGGAGAAAAGCAACGAGAGGGTGTTTGGTACTGAATTTACCTGAACCTAGCTCAGTCGCACACTTCTCAATGTGCGCCTCGAGCCGGGGCCAGTTGCTTCAGATTGGTTCGTTGGATTCCCACCCCTCGATGTTTCCTCTAACCCTTCCCAAGAACTTCGCCTCAACCCCCCATACTCCCCAGCAACTCACCCACGAATTGTCATCGTACAAAGACTACACCTGAATCTACACTTGCATCTACACCCGCGCATCAACTGTTATCGCATATGCACGAAGTGCATATTCGGTGACAGCATGCTCATGTGATGTAACCTGTGCTGTATGCACAGTCGTTCACCACCATCACCTGTGTGACATGTGACACGGAGACAGATGGAAACGCACACATGCTCACTTCTACGAGTTGGCTCACACTCACCCCCACCTACCCTCACGCTCAAGCAAACGCACCTGGACATAGAGCCATGTTTCGTACTCCAGAAAATCCCCTATGTCCCTGACCTCCAACAGCCCTTCCTGCTTGTATGGTATCACCCCCACCCTCTTCCCCATCCCTACGCTCAAGCAAACGCACCTGGGCATAGAGCCATGTCTCGTACTCCAGAAAGTCCCCTATGTCTCTAACCTCCAACAGCCCTCCCTGCTCGTATGGTATCAGCACCTGCCACAGGCACAGCGAGGGAGGGAAAAGAAGATAAACTTTTTGGAGACTTAGAAAATTGGTATTCCTGAACTCCAGTCCACACAACAGCCACCCACGGAAACATGGTACTTAGCTCCCTCACTGCCTGAATGACCTCGTCTAACCACTGGCATACCACCTGCCATGCCACCATGCCGCACCCACCCAACCCAACCACCCAAGGAAACGTAGGACTCACCTGGGTCACCTGGCTGGTAAATCAACAGGGACTCACCTGACTCACCCCCCTGCGTCGTACATAACTGAGTAAACCACGCCCAGATGATACTGATACTCCAACCAGCCCCCTCTTACCACAGCCATGCCAAGTGCCATGCCAACTGCGATGCCACTCCCACCCTTTGGGGACGGACTCACCTGAGTTACCTCGTCGTCAATCCCCCCCTGCATCATACATGATCGAGTAATCCACCCCCAGATGGTAGTGATACTCTCCAACCACTCGTACAGCCCCACTGAAAAGCCAACTGCCACGCTACTCCCATCACACCCAAGGCACAAGGGCTCACCTGAGTGACCTCGTCGTCAATCCCCCCTGCATCATACATGATCGAGTAATCCACCCCCAGATGGTAATGGTACTCCAACCACTCGTACAGCCTCCTCTTACCACTGCCATGCCCCACCACTCCCATCCATAGAAACGCCTGACTTATTACATGGTGGATGAACAGGGGCTCACCTGAGTGACCTCGTCGTCAATCCCCCCTGCATCATACATGATTGAGTAATCCACCCCCAGATGATAATGGTACTCCAGCCACTCGTACAGCCTCCTCTTACCATGGCCACTCCCACCCAACCAACCAGGGTCTCTCACCTGAGTGACTTCATCGTCGATCCCCCCTGCGTCGTACATGATCGAGTAATCCACACCCAGATGGTAGTGGTACTCCAGCCACTCGTACAGCCTCCTCCCGTCCAGTTTCGAGTGTACTGGCGGCGAGCAGAACGCAACGCGGTGCTTATAAGGGGGATGCGGCTCCAAGGAGACTGGGAAGGCGTTGGGTGGTTCATGGTAGGCGACTAGCTGCTGTGTGTTGACTGATATGACCCGCGTGCCGTGTGTGTTCTGCACTTGCACCTGGTGTGTGGTGGGATGGGGTTGAAGGGATTACATGGCAGGGCAGGAGAGGGGAGCAGCTGTAGGCGACTAGCTGCTGTGTGTTGACTGATATGACCCGAGAACCGTGGGTGTTTTGCACTTGGACCTGGTGTGATTGCAGGGCATGGCAAAGGAGAGGAGAAGATGTTGCAAGTGGCACATATATGCTTATAAGGGGGATGGAGCTCCAGGGAGACTGGGGAGGCATCGGGTGGTTCATGGTAGGCGACTAGCTGCTGTGTGTTGACTGATATGACCCGCGCGCCATGGGTGGCTTGCACTTGCACCTGGTTTGTGACTGCAGGGTAGGGCAGGATAGAGGAGAAATTTGGGAATATCTTGCCTTGCCCCAACCTAACCCAGTCCAACCCAGCCCAACCGATCCCACCTGCAGCAGCAGCTTGCCCCCTTGCGAGGCATGAGTGTCAGCTCTGAGAAAGGACTTGACCACCACCGTTTCATACTCCAAGTATGGTGCTCTTCCGGATGAAACACTTCCACACTCCCAGGTGTGCCTAATGAACCCAAAAAACACCTGAACCGAGCTCAATCCTCCCCAACCGAACGCACCTGCAGCAGCAGCTTGCCCCCTTGCGTGACATGAGTGTCAGCTGTGAAAGCACTTGACCACCCCCGTCTCATACTCCAAGTCATGGTGCTCCCCCGGATAAAACACCTCCACACTCCCCGGTGTGCCTGAATAAACCCAAAAAACACCTGAACCGATCTCAACCCTTCCCAACTGAGCCCACCTGCAGCAGCAGCTTGCCCCCTTGCGAGGCATGAGTGTCGGCCCTCAGAAAGCATTTGAGCACCACCGTTTCATACTCCAAGTCGTGGTGCTCCCCCGGATAAAACACCTCCACGCTCCCTGGAATCCCCGCATCCCCAGGGGCCGCTCCATTGGCGTGCCACGTGCACCCGGGGAAGCGCGTGCGAGCGCGGAGGCGCAGCGCCCCCAGACCAATCACAGCGAAGGAGCTGCCGCCCAGCCGGTACGCACTGTAGCGGATGAAGCCCTTGGGGCCGGCCTGTGTAATGGGCGGGGGGAGAGGGGTGGGGTGGGGTGGGGGGGAGGAAGGGGAAAACAGAGAGGTGCAGAGGAGTGGGAATGAATGCAGGTGGAAACGGCCTGGGTAAGGGAAGTGGGAGGAGGGAAGGGAGGGCAGAGGTAGGCAGACGGGAGCAGTGGCGTGTGGAAGAATCAAGAGGGGAGGCAAAAGGGATTAGTGGTAAGGGAAAGGACCAGGGAGAGAACAGTGCAGGAGAATAATTTGCTGAATGTTGTATGTCCCCACCTCCTCTGCGTTCTTTTGCTGCAGCTGCACCGATCGCAGCAGCAGCAGAACCACGCTGACAACCGTCAGCGGCAAAAACATTCACATTCTGCTCCATGCTGACAGAAAGACCTCATGAAATTTCTACAGAAGACGCCTTTTCCTCACCTCCTCTGCGTTTTTCTGCTGCAGCTGCACCGAGTGCAGGAGCAGCGGAGCCACGCTGACTGACACTGTCAGCAGCACAATCAATCGGAAACACAGCTCCTCACCTCCTCCGCGTTCTTTTGTTGCAGCTGCACCGAGCGCAGCAGCAGAGCCACGCTGACAACCGTCAGCACCAGGAGAAGCAGCAGCACGCGCAGCGGGGAGCAGCAACGTCCAGGAAGCTTCGTCTTCCGCTTGCGTGCGGCGTTATGCAGCGGAAGCGAGCCGCCGTGGAGAATCCGAGCGAGTGCGAGAAGAAAAGCCTTGTTCATTGCGAATGAGCACTTGCTACCGCTGACTCAGGAAATCATAACGCGTTCAGCCAGCGTCCGCGGGGAATCCGAGCCAGTGAAAGAAATAAAGCCTTGTTCATTGTCAGCTGGTACATGCTCTCGCTGGTTCAGGAAAGCATAACTCGTTCACAGCCAGCGTCCGCGGAAAATCCGAGCCTAACGAGCAAGAGAACCTTGTTTAAAACGAACCAACGAGGCTACGGTCCTACGAGAAGAGTTTTTGAGTCGACGCAACAAAACGTTCGGAATTGGTCATAAGCGTGGTTTGAACGTTGAGGACCTCTGAGTCGAGGAGAGCGCGCCATCAGACGAGCATTGTTGATCACGGACGATGGATAGATGGCTCAACTGAAGCTAAATAGATGACAATTGAGTCGTCAGGAGCGATAGTAACAGGTGCATTTTAAACTGCAACCTGTTCTTCAGGAACGGCCCTAAAAGGTCGAAATATCCATGATTACTTGGAGGTGATGAAATGAGTCTGGTTTCGTACGGTCGTTCAGGTGAAAGTACTGCTCTAACGGCTATGTGATGCATTATGGATCAGGCAAAACATCGAGACTGTCGCGGCTTCATTTCTACCAGCAGCAGAAGCACATGGTGGTGGGGTAGGAGCACAAACCAACGGTATCGACGGGTTCAGCAAACTTGAAGGCCAAGAGTGGTGTCGGGCTTCGGAATTGGTTTGCATAACATCCAGGGAGTGTCAAACTTTTTTGTACGATGCTGTGCATTTTGAAGCGTTTTGTAGGCTCGGCGCTTTGCGCTACTCCCTAGCAACTCACACCTCTGAACATTATCTTTTTGGGCTAGGAATAAACTTCGTGAACTATTGTAGAGAAGATGTTTGAAACGGAGATACAGCGCTCGTCTTCTCCACCATCCAATCAGGGCGGGCGAGCAACCTAGGAATTATCGAAGATTCTGACGCGGAACAAGTCCGCTCGATAACCACACAGCATCCGCTACTGCTGGAGAGCCTTTATCCGAAAACTACAAGTGATTCAGTAACGGAGAGACCCAAAACGGAGATTAAGCTTCCCCTTCCACCCTCTCTTTAGATAGTCCCAAGGTCCCCCCATCACCCTCTCTTCTCTCTTCCTTCTGGAAACCCCGACCAGAAACCCTAGCTTCACTGAGGAACGTCATCCTGCCTGGCCTATGCCTGCAGGTTGCTTCTGTTGCCTCCTATGAGTCTCTGACTTTCTCCTCCCCCTCCCCTCGGGGATTTAAACTAGAAAAGCCAAAAAAAAGAGTCTCATCGAGGTCCCGCTTCGCGTCTTAGAAAACCCCAAAAAAATCTAGAAAATCAGAAAATTAGGCCAGAAACGCGTGTGGTTCCAGTAGCGATTTTTGGCTTCCGATCTTAGATCGGACATTAGGGCTTAATTCTCCTCAGCCCTAGTTCAGCATCGACGCCGTATCGGAGCAGATCGGATCATCAGTTATCAGTCCCAGCGGAGCCAACACCTTTGGAATAACCATTTCGCAGCACTAATTCCCCGGAACAGGCAGTTTCCCCGAAGTTTGCCTCCCTTTAAACCGTTTTCAACCGCTTTATCCGTCTTCTAATCTCTCGAGAAGCCATGGCTACCGCGGGAGCCGCTGCGCCGTCGGCGTCGCTGTACGTGGGCGATCTGGACAAGGAGGTGACCGAGGCGCAGCTCTACGAGCTCTTCAGCCAGGTCGGCCCCGTCGCGTCGATCCGCGTCTGCCGCGACGCCGTTACGCGCCGCTCGCTCGGCTACGCCTACGTCAACTACAACAGTGCTGTCGACGGTTAGATCTCTCGCTCTCTCCCTTCTCCGTTTTCCCCGCTACCTAGTCTGTTTCCGGCCCTTGCCTCTGTTTCTGCGGCGTCTCAAAATACCCTCACGTCACCTGCAACAATGCTGTCTGTTAATCTCGTTCTCCCTTCCCTCAATCCCTGGCATTAATTTGAATGAATTGCTCGTCATTGCCGTTCGTACCTCTTGTTCCTTTATCTGGCGATGCGTTGTTGGTAAGCTGAGAAAGCTGGTTACGCGCTCACCTGCACGGACGGCGCTCGCCAGTAGAGATTCTAAGAATTCTCAAGTTAAGAGCACTACATGCTTGTTTGCTGCATGAAGTGACTTTTCTAAGCGTGAACTGGCCTGCTTGTCTAGTTGCGTATGATGGGATCGGTAGATGATACCTGGCGGCAGGACGCAATACTTTTAGAGTATAACACGTTCTCTTGTTCCCTAATCGCAAATTGGATATCGTAACCTGCTGGCATGTTTGATTAGAACCATGAGGCTGTTCTGTATGACGTGCGATTCTGATGCATTTGCTTCCCAGCTTTTTTCCAACACTTATCTTCCGTTCTGTCTCCTCTTTCCCCTCTTTGCCACCCCGTACCCCTTTTGTCTCGCTCTCTCTCCCCTGTGTGCCCCTCCATATTCGCGTGGAACACGTCCTCGTTACTGCCGCTTCGTTTCCGTGTGGATTGTTGCTTCAACAGAGCATGCAGGTAAGGCGTCACTGTGGCTAAATTTCTCCGCTATCAAGACTTCATTCTACTGTTAACCTCTGCACTGTAGGATTCGGGCGATTGTAGACTTCCGCCGATTGTAGACTTCCGCCGATTGTAGACTTCCGCCGATTGTAGACTTCCGCCGATTGTAGTCTTCCGCCGATTGTAGACTTCCGCCGATTGCAGACTTCCGCCGATTGTAGTCTTCCGCCGATTGTAGTCTTCCTCCGATTGTAGACTTCCGCCTATTGCAGACTTCCGCCAACTTCCCAGCACGCTGTAGATCTCCACCTATTCTCCCCTACGGTAAACTTCCTCCGTTCCTCCTTCATCCGCCCGTATCTTCCCGCACGTCTCTTCCTTGTATCTCACCGCGGCTGGTATATCGCCTCGGGAATGACTTTTGAGTCGACTCAAAAGTCACCTCGTTCCTCATTCATCCGCCCGTATCTTCCCGCGCGTCTCTTCCTTGTATCTCACCGCGGCTGGTATATCGCCTCGGGAATGCCCCGCCATCGGCGTGTTTGGCTCTACGGATCGCGTTCCCACGAATTCCGTTTCGCAAATCGCACAACCGGCCTCCGAATGACATTGGCGCATGGGTCGCCCGTCGACCCTTGAGCTCTGGTCTCCGTGCAGACTGAATTGATATATCTACTCGCCTCTCTGCATCTCAGTCTCCATTTACCTGTCGCTTTCACGTTCGAAACGTCGCAACGGGGGCGCTCAACTACCGCAAGGTGAACAAACTTTCTTCTTGTATCCTATGTATTCGCACCCTCGCTCACTACCGCTCTTCTCCCCGCTCCCTCCGCCCCCCCCCCCCCCCCACCCCCTTTTCCCCCGTGCAGCGGAGCGCGCAATGGAGGCGCTGAACTACCGCGAGGTGAACGGGCCGCCCATCCGCTCTACATGTAACTGTCCTCAACTTCCCCCACCCCATCCCCCCATTTGTACCCCAACAGCCGAGCGCGCGATGGAGGCGCTGAACTACCGCGAGGTGAACGGGCGGTGCATCCGCATCATGTGGTCCCACCGCGACCGATTCTCTTCCTGCCCTCTCACTGTCCGCCTCACTCTCCCCTCCTTGTCCTCCGCGGCCCCACCGCGCTCCCCTCCCCCCTCTTTCCGCCCCCAGCGGAGCGCGCAATGGAGGCGCTTAACTACCGCGAGGTGAACAGGCGGCCCATCCGGTCTCAACCTGTTACTGCCCTTCACCCGCTCAATCCTGTGTCGGTCCCCCTCCGTTCCTCTCTCTCCCCTCCCCCAGCCGAGCGCGCAATGGAGGCGCTGAACTACCGCGAGGTGAACGGGCGGCCCATCCGCATCATGTGGTCCCACCGCGATCCCAGCCACCGCCGCAGCGGCGTCGGGAACATC